GGCCTCAGGCATGCAAGGCAAGCACTCTACCACTGAGCCAACTTCCCAGCCCTGTTATATTTTTAATATACAAATATGCTTCATATAAATATACTTATATATTTATTATACAACATGTTTTCTATTATATATACAAATATATTTGTATATAAATGTATTGTTTCTTTTATATTCAAATATATTTCTAATATGTTTAGAAATATATTAAATATGTAAAATGTGTGGCACAAAATATACAATAAAATCTCTTTTCCATTATGTGTATATATAGCGAGGGAGGGAGAGAAAGAGAGGCTGAGGAACAGGAGGAGGAAGATTAATAGCATCATACAAACTATCAAATGGAACAACTTTAATATAAAATACTAAATGATAGCCAGGTGCTGGTGGCTCATACCTGTAATCTTAGCTACGCAGGAGGCTGAGATCTGAGGATTGTTGCTCGTAGTCACCCCAGCAGGAAAGTCCATGAGATTCTTCTTTCCAATTAATCACAGAAAAAGCCAGAAGTAGTACTGTGGCTCAAGTAGTAGAGTGCTAACCTTGAGCAAAAAGAGCTCAGGACAGCACTCAGGCCCAGTTCAAGCTCCAGGACCAGTGAAAGAAGGAAAGAAGAAAGAAGGAAAGAAGGAAGGGAGGGAGGAGTGAGAAATAAGGAAACTGTATGCATTTTATCATTTGTGGCAAAAACAGATATGTTTGGCCATTTGTACTGGCTCAGGCCTCTAATTCTAGCTGATCCAGAGGCAGAGATCAGGAGAATCACAATTTGTGGCCAATGCAAGCAAAAGGTAGCAAGACCACATAGCAACCAATAAAAAGTGGAAGTTATAGTAACAACTCAGTTTCTGCCTGAGCTGTTAAATCCCTAGTGTTCATTGTCTCTCTGGTCTATGCAACACTGAACAGGGATGAAGAAATATTATGTCCTTAGGTAAAAGCCCAGTTCCTTCTGAGCAGCTCTTCACTGTCCCTAGTTTCAGTAATCCCCTCATGGGGCATCATTGATCTGTTTGCAGGAACTCTGAAGATGTCAGCTAATGGGGTTAGGGCACCAGTGGCTGATGATTCTAACCCTAGCTCCTCAGAGGCTGAGACCATGAGGATGACAGTTTGAAGCCAGCCAAGGCAAAAAGAAAGCCTGTGTGAAAGTCTATCTCCAAATAACCAGCAACAAAACAGGCTGGAGTCCTGGCTCAAGTGGAAAAGTTCTAGTGAACAAGTAAGCCTGGGGAGTACAAGGCTTTGAATTCAAACCCAGCTACCAGCAAAGAGTTGAGTTTGGCTGGACCTAGTCCATGCTGTGACCATGCTGACATTTCTCATCACTGTAGAACAAAACTCTGATCCCTAAAAACTTTTCTACACACATACTCTTAACATCTAAGAGCATTTTCCTGCAATGTTCTCTAGAAGCCATATGGCAAAGACGTGGTTTCCAGTGTGGTGCTCTTGAGAGTTGGTAAAACCTTTAAGAGGTGACAACTAGAGAGGTTTTGGGGTTACTGGGGCATTCCCTTGAAGTGGATTAGTGAGACCCTATCTTAACCAAATAAGATATAGTGGGGTACATGTCTATAAGTCTATTACATGAAGTCTTAGTCCAAGCAAAAAGCATGAAATCCTATCAGAAAAGTAACTAAAGCAAAAAGGACTAGGGGCCAGTGGTAAAATGCTTCCCTTAACAAGAGTGAGGCCCGGAGTTCTAACCCCAGTACTTCAAAAAGAAAGTAATTTAAGTGGAACACTAAAACTTATTTACCTACTGCAAACAAAGAGATAAAGAACAACAAAGCAGGGCTGGGAAGGTGGCTCAGTGGTAGAGTGCTTGCCTTGCAATGCATGAAGCCCTGGATTCGATTCCTCAGCACCACATGAGCAAAAAGATAAAAGCCAGAAGTGGCGCTGTGGCTCAAGTGGTAGAGCGCTAGCCCTGAGCTGAAGAGCTGAGGGACAGCACCCAGGTCCAGAGTTCAGGCTCCACAACTGGATCCCCCCCCCCCAAAAAAAAATAGGCTATGGGCTTTGCTGGGCATGGGTGGCTTAAGCCTGTAATCCTAGCTACTACTGAGATCTGAGGACCATGGTTCAAAGCCAGCCCAGACAGGAAAATCTGTTGAGACTTTTATCTCTGATAAACTACTCAGAAAAAGCCACAAGTGGCACTGTGGCTCAAGTGGTAGAGCATACAGAGGCTCAAAGACAGCAGCCAGGCCCTGAGTTCAAGCCCCAGGACCAACAAAAGAAAAAAAAAGACTACAAGCTGGACACCCATGGATCATACCTGTATTCCTAGCTATTCAGAAGATCTGAGGATCATAGTTCAAAACCTGCCTAGGAAGGAGAGTCCATAAGACCCTTATTTCCAATTAACAGCAAAAAGACAGAAGTAGAGGTGAGGCACTAGTGGTAGAACGCCAGCTATGAATGATAAAGCTAAGGAAAACCAGCCATGCTTTTTTTTTTTTTTTTTGTCGGTCATGGGGCTTGAACTCGGCCTGGACACTGTCCCTCAGCTCTTCAGCTCAAGGCAAGCGCTCTAACACTTGAGCCACAGCGCCACTTCCAGTTGTCTGGAGATTAAGAGTCTCACGGCCTTTCCTGCCTGGGCTGGCTTTCAACCATGATCCTCATATCTCAGCCTCCTGAGTAGCTATGATTACAGGCATGAGCCACCAACACCCAGCTTAGATGCTGGATTTGATGTTTTGGTTCAAATCTCTCACTGCTGTCCGCCCTCACACTTCTGTCCTAGCTCTGAACACAGTACTTAAACAGTGTATGTGTTCCATGCAGAACCAACATATATCCAGTATAACTCCTGGAGTCTGAAACTTAGAACAAAGGAATTATCTTTTGCCAATGTAAGTATGGTATTAGCAAGTGGGTCAAAAGGAACCCAAATATGTTTGAAAGGGCTGCCATAACAAAATGCCACAGACTAGATGATCATGTTGTTAAAAGTTCCAGGACCTATAAATCCAAGATGGAAGAAGTCAAGAGGTTAGGAATACAAGTCCCTTCTCCTTGGCTTACAGAAAACCCCCTCCTGTGTCTTTGCATGGTCTTCCTGTGTTCACATCTATGTCCAAATTTCCCCTTCTTATAGGGAACTGGTCATAGTAGACTACAAACTAGCCATGTGACCTCTATTTTACCTCCATCGCCGTTTTAAAGTCTCTATCTTCACATTAATCACATTCTGAGGCCCTGGAGCTTAGGATTTGAGTATATGATACCACATATGAAGGATGGAAGGATATGAGATCACCCAGTAATTTCAGTTTTGAAAAGTTAAGTTTTAACCATAAACCTTGCTCCACAAATAAGTCAAAACACTCATTGGCTTTGTAGAATTCTCACCTGAAGAAAATTTGACACATCTGAGAGAGAAAATAGGAGTTGCTAATTATACAAAAGCATGCAATAGTCAAGTGCCAGTGGCTTACACCTGTAATCCCAGATACTTAGGAGGCTGTTATTTGAGGATCATGGTTTGAAGCCAGCCCAATCAGAAAAGTCAATGAGACTTACATTTCTAATTAACTTCCCAAAAGGCTAAAAGTGGAAGTGTGGCTCAAGTGGTCAAGTACCAGGTTGAGCAAAAAAAAAGCTAAGAGATAGCACATAATCCTGAGTACTAGTATATGTGTACACACACACACACACACACACACACTCTATGGGAAACCAGAAAAAAAGCTTGATGTAGTAAAGTCTTTCCTATGCAAAAAATAAAATAAAATAAACAAGAGGATGCAAAAAAAAATACACAAGAGGTTGCAAATATGAGACCATTAAAGCAAAGGTAGGTAATGGTCATTGTCCCCTGTAATCCAAGACACAATTTAAGACTTGTGTGAATATAAAATCCTACAAAAGGCTAGCTCCTCTTACTGCCAAGCAGGAGAGGGAACTGCATGACTCAACCCAACCTCCATGTTCTCTGAAGGCCTAGAGCTCTTGACACTTTCTGACCCAAGAATTCCAGTTCCCAAAAGTGGTAGCACAAGTGCAGAACCCATCTTGCAGATAGATGGGTCACTGAGGTAGGATTAAAATTGACCAGCTTCCCAGTCTGCCATGAACACCTGTGTGGCATCACAGACAATGAATACAGCTGACACCAAGGCAGAACTCACCTTCACCCAGCGTTCTAAGGGTCCATCCAGCACACTGGAAAGACATCCATCTCCCACACAAGTTGGAGACTGCCTGCCTGGTGCTCTGCCCTATCAAGCAACAGCTTCAAAGTGAACGCCTCAGAGGTCACCTTGACATCTTGTGCTCATTAGAAATGCAAATTGTGAGCCTTTCAATGTACTGAATGAGAATCTGGAGAAAGAGCCTGGGAAATTGTGTTTCCACAAGCTCTCAGGTGGGTTCTTCCTGATCTTAACATTTGGAAACCAATTAGGGGTTTACATAATTTTTTTTCTTAACAAAAGAGTTGGGACAGAACCTCCTATTTGTAGTCCCATTACTGAACAAGCTAAGGTAGGAGGACTGCTTAAGCCCAGGAGTTGGGTGGGCTGTTAGCCTGGGCAACAAAAAGGGAGTTCACCTCAAACAACCACCAAAAAACTACATCAATCAATTGTATACTCCTGTATTTGAGGACCTGCCTCTGACCATAAATGGTAGGAATTCAAGATGTATTGTAGTCATAAACTAATCTGTTGAACTGAAACCCCTTTGTACACTTAAGGATTTTTTTTAATATGTAAAGAGGAGGAAAAAAATCACTATCAGGCTTCTACTCACTCCTTACTGCTACATGGTTTATGTATTTTTATTATATGTGATCAAAAATATCTTTGTATGCCAGATGCCCCAAAATTCATTTATTATAGTTCTTGTAATCCCTGAAGGTACACAAAAAACAAATACAGCAATTTAAGAATACTTGCTTGTCTTCAACTTAAATAGCAGAAGCAAGGCTGTCTATATAACACTCCTGACAAACTGTCTTAAACAGGATGCTGGGGAGTGTTTGATCATTACTCATGGTTCTTCAAGAACTCTTCAAGTTGCTGCATCCTCTCAGCTGGAAAAGAAGCAATTGATACCAGTCATCCACAAGGAAAAATGTTCTGTGATTAGAAAAAGGGCAGGGAAGGTGGCTCAGTGGTGGAGTGCTCGCCTTGCATGCATGAGGCCCTGGGTTCGATTCCTCAGCACCACATAAGCAGAAAAGGCCAGAGGTAACACTGTGGCTCAAATGGTAGAGCACTAGCGTTGAGCTGAAAAGCTGAGGGATAGCGCCCAGGTCCAGAGTTCAGGCCCCACAACCGACAAAAAAGAAAAAGAAAGGTCTGGACACATAGCTTTTAAGATTGGACCTGAGCCAGGCCCTGGTGGCGCATGCATGGAACCCTTAGCTATTCAGGACGCTGAGATCTGAGGATTGAGGTTCAAAGGAAAGTCTGAGAGACTCTCACCTGCAATTAATAAGCCAAAAGTGGAGCTGTTGCTCAAGTGGTAGAATGCTAGCCTTGAGCAAAAAAAAAAAAAAAACCTAAGGGACAGCATCCAGGCCTTGAGTTCAAGCCCCAGAAGTGATGTGCCACACACAACTTGGCTATGGGATGGTGTGGTCCTGCTAAGACTGAGGTGTGCAGTGATGCACCTGAAATCATCTAATCTCCACTTTCTTGCCCTAAACCTGCTAAAGGGTACCTCAGAAGCTCTGCAGTTTCCTAATGTTTAGGAACTAAAAAATGTTGTGAGGAGGTTAAAGGAGGCTAGAGAGAGGTCAATAGGCCACAAGGGTCACCTGGGACTCCCTCCTCAGGCTGGTTCCCAAAGCCCCTCACCTCGCTTGACCTTAAGTTCTTTGTACCACACTGCTAGGCTTAGAAGAAAGCCCTTCAGGAGATTCTGCTCTCGAGGCCGTCCAAAGATGGTGATTTCAGTCACTTTCCCACAGGGCAACTTGGTCACATGCAGCAAGGCCTGACTCAGCCATTCCAGTTCGTTGATGGTGGATTGGTTTGAACCTAAACAAGTTAGGGGAGACTCTTAAGGCGGGCACAGTGTCAGGTCGAGATTTGAAGGGAATGCTGCCCAGGGAAGGGTAGCACTGAGGGCTTGGGGGTGGGGGAGAAACTCCTGCGAAATGGGGGAAGGAGGCTGTAGAGCAAGGCCCAGCTGGCCTCTCCCCACCTGGCACCAAGCCCTCAGGTGAGGGGCAGCTCACCAAGTATCTCCTCTACCACCCATGTCTCCAGGTGGAAGACGATAGGTTGGCTCATTTCTTCAACGGGAAACCACCAAGGCACGACGCGAACTTGAGGTGACGGAAGTGGAATCCTAAGCAGTCTGTCCAGGTTTGGAGACGGTTCCTGTCCACCCTGCCCAGCCTCAGCAGACGGTCGCTGGCCACCTTGACGAGCCTCAGCAGATGGCTGCTCTCCACTCTGCAAAGGCTCAACAGGCCTCGCGACTTCAAGCATAGGGGACCTAAGGTCTGGAGGACCCATGGCCTAAAAGCCAGGCTGCAAATGCTGGAGCCAACTTCCTCCCAGGCCCGGCTCTTTATGGAGCCCCGAGCCCCGCCCCATGGGCGGGTGCTCCTTAGTGGCCCACCAGTCCCTGGTGGCTGGGACCTCTTCCCAATCACTTCCGGCCCCCAGTCACTTCCGCTTCTTCCCGGAACTAGTTATGACGGGGCCTGGAGACTCTTGAGTCGTCATCTCAGCTACAGAATATACAGCCTCACGGCCTCTGCTCCAGCGTGTCACGGTCAACAGTGTAAAGCTGATTCTACTTCAGCCCGTGTGGAAATGTGTATAGTTTATTTATTTTTATTGAATCATCGTCAGTGCCTAGGATAAGGTTTTCCAGTTCCCTTCCAAAGACAGGTAGGCAGATGAGGCCCAGAGCAGGCCCAACGAGCCTGTAAATGTTCTCTCCTCTCCTGATTCTGCCTCTCCAGATGGTTACCGTTTTGAAATTATTCAAGTGACTCTATCCTGTTTTTTCAACAAAATGTCACAGGTGGCCATAATAGACCACATAAAAAGACAAATTTTATTTCCACAATCCTAACACAGCCAACATCAGTGTACATTTCTTCCCCATGTTCTTAATCTCGTATCAAAGTCGGCCTCTGGTGGCTCACACGCCCATCATCCTAGCTATCCAGGAGGCTGAGATCTGAGGGTTGTAGTTCAAAGCCAGCCCTGTCAGAAAGTCCATGTGAGATTCTTATCTCCAATTAACAATTGAAAGGCAGAAGTGGAGCTGTGGTTGAGTGCTAGCCTTGAGCAAAAGAACTTAGAGATTATGCCAAGCTCCAGGAATGAACAACAACAACAAAAAAAGTCAGCTTATTAAAGATATCACACATTTGAAACTATCATAAAACAGTTTAAAAGCTGTGGACAGCCGGGTGCCAGTGGCTCACACCTGTAATCCTAGCTACTGTGGAGGCTGAGATCTGAGAATTGTGGTTCAAAGCCAGCCCAGGCAGGAAAGTCTATGAGACTCTTATGGCTAGGGCCATATGCATGAGAGACCAACACAGATAGATTTTTTTTAAGTATCTTATTTTGGATTTTTAATTCCAAAAATCTGCCTTTTCAATCACCTCCTTTCTGTCATATCCTCTTTTCCCACCAAAAGTTCAATATTACTTTTAGGATTCTCCTTCCACTTAAAAAAAAAGTATATAGAAGGTATGGAGACAGAGGACAACCTGAACTAAAAGTTGAGGAGACATCATCTCAACCAATAAAAATTGGGCATGGTGGTGCACCTGTCATCCCAGCTAAGTTGAAGTGTAAATAGAAGGAATGTGGTCTACATCAGCCTTTTTGAAAAAGGATAAAAGAAAAAGGGCTGGGGGCATGGCTCAGGTAATTGAGTGCTTGCCTAGCAGGTTCAAGGCCCTGGCTTTCAACCTCAGTACCAATATAAAAAGTGCATGAGGGCTGGGATGTAGCTCAGTGGCAAAGCGCTTGCCTAGCAAGCGCAATGTCCTGGGTTCGATCCCCAGTACCAAAAAAGAAAAGACAAAAAAAAAAATACAGTTAAAAAGTGCATGAATGTCTTTTATTTTTCTATAATATTAAACATTTTCTTGTATTCTTTCTCTGCTAAGTATTTATTTGGGGAAAAAGTAAACCCGTGGAAGACTGCCAAAAAATAAACATTTACATTTTATACTTTCCATTTTGTTTACTCAATTCTGAACATTTTACTCCATTTTATCTACCTAGATAGACCTTTATTGTGAACTACTTGGGGGCAGATATCATAATGCTTTATCCCAAGTAATTTAACATGATCCCTTAAGCATGAATAATGACATTCTCCTGCATAGCCCTAAATATTCAACAATTATTAACTTAGAAAATTGAACACTAGTGTAGTACTCTTATCTAATACAGATTAGATTTTTCAGAGGCTGGGAAGGTGGCTCAGTGGTAGAGTGCTTGCCTTTCATGCAGTAGGCCGTGAGTTCAATTCCTCAGTACCACATAAGCAAAAAAGCTGGCGGTGGCACTGTGGCTCAAGTAGTAGAATGCTAGCCTTGAGTTGAAGAGCTGAGGGACAGCGCCCAGACCCAGAGTTCAGGCCCCGTGACTGGCAAAAAAAAAAAAAAAAATAGATTTTCAGTCCTCCTAGTTTTCACAATTGACTTTTTTTTTCTTTTTTTGGTCAGTCATGGGGCTTGAACTCTGGGCCTGGGCACTGTCCCTCAGCTCTTCGGCTCAAGGTTGCTACTCTTCCATGTAAGCTCTACCACTTCCAGTTTTCTGGTGGTTTATTGGAGATGTGTCTCATGGCCTTTCCTGGCTTGGCTGGCTTTGAACCAGAATCCTCCGATCTCAGCCTCCTGAATAGCTAGGATTACGGGAGTGAGCCACTGGCACCTGGCTTCCAATTGATATTTTTTTTGATACATGTTCTTACTCTGTAGCTTAAGCTGTCCTCAAGCTTGAGATCCTCCTGTCTTACCTTCCTGAGTATCTAATTTTCAGTGCTGTCTAGTCAAATTTACCTCCTTTGTTATATCTCTGGTCTCTTTTAATTTAGAGTCATTCTGGGTTTTTTTTGTTTTGTTTTTTGTTGTTTTGTTTTTTGTCACTTGTGGGGCTTGAATTCTGGGTCTGGACGCTGTCCCTGAGCTCTTCAGCTCAAGGTGAGTGCTCTACCACTGGAGCCACAGTGCCACTTCTAGTTTTCTGGTGGTTAATTCGTGATTAGAGTCTCACTGACTTTCCTTGTCCTGGCTGGGCTGTGAACCTTGATCCTCAAATCTCAGCCTTCTGAGTAGCAAGGATTACAGGTATCAGCCACCAGCACCAGGCTCATAATAATGACATTTTTTTAAGTGTTTTTTGTTATGGAACATTTCAAGTATACAATAGATATGAACATAGGTTTTTCAGACCCCAGGGTTAAACTTCAGGAGTTACACATGTTGGGTCTGGCCATTTATCCTTGTACATGAAATAAAGAGACATGGTGAAGAGCTGAGAATGATTTATTACGTGGCAGCCATGAGAAGATGACTTTAGTACATCTCCAGCCATCTTCAGCAGTACAGACATGAATTATATACTTGACAGGGAACAAGCAACAGACAGGGAGCCTGGTTCTAGAGTGAGGCAAAAAATTAATGATACCTTGATGATTCCCATAAAGTTTAGTTAAAAACATGGCATTGCCAGGTGGCAGTGGCTCAGGCCTATAATCCTAGCTACGCAGGAGGCTGATACTAAGGATCTAGGGTTGAAGCCTGCCTAGGCAGAAAAAGACTCTTTTTTTGTTGTTGTTGGTCATGGGGCCTAAACTCTGGGCCTAGGCACTGTCCTGGGCTCTTCAACTCAAGGCTAACACTCTACCACTTGAGCCACAGCACCACTTCCAGCTTTTTCTTCTTATGTAGTGCTGAGGAATCGAACCAAGGACCTCATGCATGCAAGGCAAGCACTCTACCACTGAGCCACCTTCCCAGCCCCATAAGATTCTTAACTCCAATTAATGAAGTAAAGCCAGGAGCCAGTGGCTCATACCTATAATCCTAGTTACTCAGGAGGCTAAGATCTGAGGATTGTAGTTCAAAGCCAGCCCAGGCAGGAAAGTCCATGAAACTCCAATTAACTACCAGAAGACCTGAAGCAGTACTGTGGCTCAAAGTGGTAGAGCTCTAGCCTTGAGCGAAAGAGCTGGAGAGTGCCCAGGTTTCAAGGGCAGGGGGAAAGGGGAGAGATGGAAGTAGAGCTTCAGCTCAAGTGATAGAGTGCTAGCCTTGAGCAAAAAAGCTCAGGGATAACATTCACACCCTAAATTAAAGCCCTAGGACCATCAAAAAGAAAAAAAAAAGTAGAGACAAGACATTGTTTAGATCATTGATCATTTGAACACAATTAGATAATTTTAGCTTATTGTGGTTAGGAATGCCTGGAAAAGGAGGCTCTCAGAAGCTCTGGTACAACAGAGAGAAAGAGAGAGAGGATAATGAATTATCTGCTTTTCAAAGTATTTAATTAAAGCAATATGCTAGGATTGAATATGTTGCTCAGCTGTAAAGTGCTCATCTGGCATACCTCAAGCCCTGGGTTCTATCTGCATCTCCACATATAGGAATAAACAAATAAATCAATAAAGTGGCATTGTGTGACTATACAATTTTGGTTGTTTTTTTTTTCCGCTCATGGGCCTTGAACTCAAGGCCTTTGCACTGTCCCTGCGCTACTTTGCTCAAGGCTAGCATTCTACCACTTTGAGCCACAGCACCACTTCTGGTTTTTGAGAGGTTAGTTGGAGATAAGAATCTCATGGGGACTTTTCTCCCAGCCTAGCTTTGAACCACGATCCTCAGATCACCCCCTGAGCAGCTAGGATTACAGGCGTGAGCCACCAGCATCCAGCTATGACTGTACAGTTTAACTTTCTCATTCCTTGGCTTGCTCATCAGTAAAATGTTAATTAAAAACAGTAATTCTTGCAGGATTGACAGAAAAATCAAATAATGCTAATATAGAGCTGAGCATAATTTCTAGCTCATAGAAATTTCCTGGTTTTAAATAAATATATATACACACATATATGTATATATACATATATATGTATATATTTGTGTCTATACACAGAATATACATATATATACAGAATATATATACATATATATACAGAATATATATATATATATCAGGATGGACTTAAATATTCTCACTGTCTCCATCGCTGTCATTAACAGCTTTGAACTCCGGGTGTGACCTTGAGCAAGACTTGGTGGCTCCATTTTGGTTGTTTGTTTGTCTCTGGCGCTTGAACTCAGGGCTCCCACTCTCACTCAGCTCTTTCACTCAAGGCTAATAGCTCTATCATTGAACTATACCTTCACTTCTGGATTTTTGTTGGTTACTTGGGAGATAAGGATATCACCAATTTGTCTGCTGGGGTTTTGAACCTTGATTTTCAAATCTTAGCCCCCAGAGTAGCGCTACTACTGGAGCTTGAGCTCAGA